AGAGCAGCAACAGCACCAAAAAGTCAAATATATATGAAATATCTTGGGTTTTGTCCTATGATAGGACATACCTTTTATGGATCTGATGTTGTCTACAGCAATATCAGGCTAGCTTGACTCAATTGTTGAATGTATATGGGCTCAAATAACATAATCACGATCCCTGAGGCATCCAGGAATTGAGTGACACTAAGCAAAAAAACTAAGGGGGTCAGAGTGGGCTTCTTTTCCAAGCTTCATCTGAGGGGAGGCCCACAGTCTCAGATTTTGAAAACCGATATAATTGCATTGCCTTTATTTGATAGAGACAGCTGTAAGGTGACAAGAAAAGGGGGGAGAGAGAGAAAGAGAGAGGGGATGACACGAAAGGACTCAGCCTTGGTATATGGAGCACCGGCTCTACCAGGTGAGCTCCTGATTTTTATCAACAATCAAACCATACATTAATGTCATCAAGACAGGTAACATTCTTCAAATAGATTTAGTTTGTAGTCCATTAGTTACCGATCCCTAAATAGGATTTCATTAGTCTGTAAGTCTGTAGTCCATAAGCTATCTCATTTAAATATAAGCTTGCTGACAGAAATTAAAAGTCATAACTGTACTTATAATGCGATGTGGTCAGACACACACCTCTGTTCTAATAATTAAACCAATTATAAGCACCGTGAATCACAGCTTCATGTGGCATCGTAGTCCATTACACTGGGAAAAAAATGGTAAGTCTTGTCCTAACCTGTCAGAATCAGCAATGATGAACTTACCTGTACCACAAGTAGTGCAAGACTAAGCGGAATGGCCCTGTAGGAAACAAATCAAAGTTAGTAAGCATAATAATGGTAATGATGTCATATTTTATTGCTTATTGTATAATGAGACTGGATGTCTTGTTTAAGGACTTTCGCCATGATCCAGACAAAGGCTAACTATACAAAACTACAGCACCAGCCAGGACCAATTACTGTCAATTAATAAAAAATATGTTTTCTAACAGTCATTCCGAGATGATCTTGATTAAGGAAACTATATCTGATTTATTATATTAGTAGTAGTAGTAGTATTATATATTACAACTTTTGATATCGTGCGTACTGAGTTATCTTTGATAGGATGCATCCCTTTTTTCAGATTCGGGTGAATATGTAGACGTCTATCCTCCAGCACACAGTAAGTGCTTTCCTAACACCTTTCCACATTTGCAGACCTACTTTCCAGCAAGAGGTGACACTGCTTGCTACCAACCCTACACCTACTCTCCCACCAAAGCATACGCAGTGTGAAGTATATTGTTGATTGCTGAATTTAAGAGTGAACACAAAGAATTTGGAAGAGGTCATGGCCAGCTGCTCAATACATATTCTGTGATTAGGAGCATGCATCCACGCTTATGAACACCAGAACTTACCTGTCACTGCTTTTGCAATGAGTGAGGTGTTGTGCTCCTTGTTGCCTCGCAACTGCAAATGTTAGAAAAGTGACAGACAGGTGAGCTCATCGTTCACCACTTTCCTCTAACGAACCTCTAATGGTGTGTTTATTAGTCCTTATTCATTGCTAACACTGAACTTGAAAGGAAAGTGCCACGGGGAAGTGTTCCTGCTGTTGCTAGGGGAACTTAATTAATGTAACTTATAGCAGCGTCACTCTAGCAGCCACATACTTCTAGCTAGCGAGCTGTAGCACACCATGACTGTTGTCTCATAACTGGAACACAATGAGTTATTATGATAACAAAAACTGCATTATGTGCGATATGAGATTGTGAGCATTTACCTGGCTACGCTACAGTAGGTGTGCTACGTGGCTTTGAGCGGCTGAACCCATGCAACTGATTGGAGTTGACTTCAATCAACAAATGTTCAATGTTCAACAAAAGACGAACACAGTCAACTGAAAGCGAGCATTAATGGAGGTCTGACTGACCTGAGTGTCCGTCTCTGGAGGCCATTCAGTAATGACGAGCAAATCGTATAAAATGTTCTCATCTTCGCCTTCAATCAGACTTTCTTCAGCCATATTTACTTGTGCCAGCTGTCAAAAGTCTACGGCGATTGGCGCGGGACAAAATATACCAGGGAACCGCGTTTGGTAGCTGTAGCTAACCGCTTAGAAAAAACTGTGCCGTGGTTTGAACTTGAATACTATGTTGTTCTAATACTATATAAACGTGTGCTTACGTAGCTTGCCCCACAAGTAATGTGTGTTACTGTATTTTACGAACTAGTTTAATACCCGGAACCAATGTCATAAGGCCGGTCCGATAAACGAGTTGCACCGACACGAAAATTGTGAACACGTTACATCCGGCTGGGTTTGCACTCGTAGCAGCGATAATGGCAGCGTTTTCTGGTAAGACTTGTATTTTAAATTCGCGTTGACAACGCCAAACGACACTTCAAAGCGAAATGAACGTATTGAATCATTAAAAGGGATTTTTTTTGTTCAACAGAAATGGGGGTTATGCCTGAAATCGCGCAGGCTGTGGAAGAGCTGGACTGGTTGTAAGTCACAATACAAACCACCTCAGTACTGCTAAATCATGCCTATATTGTGATGTCTGTCCGTGTTTGTGTTACCTGTCAGCCTAACACAGCTGACACTGACCTGCTTTATTGTAATCCTTGGATCTCAGGCTGCCCACTGACATCCAGGCAGAGTCTATCCCTCTTATTCTTGGCGGAGGAGATGTGCTCATGGTAAGTCTGCCCATTTCTCTCTGTTTGTGACGAGCTACCTTCGCACACTGCAAGTTTTACATCTTTAAATGTTCTGTTTTTTCTAGGCGGCAGAGACTGGTAGTGGCAAAACAGGTGTAAGTACTTGACAGCCACACAATCTAAATACACAACTTCAAGTTTGCACTTTTTTTTTAAACAAATTAGCGTTTAAAGATTTTTTTTTAATTATTTTTATTTTATGTGTTTTTTTAATGCTAAGCTGAAATGTTACCCTTGTCATCCTCAGGCCTTCAATATTCCAGTGATCCAGATTGTGTATGAGACCCTGAAGGATCAGCAGGAGGGCAAGAAGGGCAGAGCCTCCATCAAGACTGGAGGAGCTGGTGAGACCATTTGAGTACTTATCTGATTGCAGTGTCTGTGTTTTATATGCCAGCTAGAATGTGTTCATAACATTGTACAGACCTCTCTGGCCCAATAGACCCAGTGAGGCCAGTAGACAAATTGAGGATCCACTGTAATACAAACTATGAAAGCAGTGGTCTGTGCCCTGGAGATATTTAACCTGCTTTGTTTCTTTGCTTGTCTCAGTTTTCAACAATTGGCAGATGAATCCTTATGATCGCAGTCCCGCCCTTGGTAAGAGGAGAAATGTGATGTCGTATTCCAGCACAGTCTAATCTGTTATAACTGCAGATGTACATAATCCAGCTTTGTTCTTTGTCGCCTCTCCTCATTGTTACTTTTGTTTTTGTTTTTCACCCATACAGCAATTGGTCCAGATGGTTTGTGCTGCCAGAGCAGGGAGTTTAAAGAGTGGCATGGCTGCCGCTCTACAAAAGGTGTCTCCAAAGGTGTGTAATCCACAGTATTTTAAAATTGCTTGAGATTTCAAACAACATCTGTGCATTTCACTGGAAACCATTTCTTTCATAGACTCATAGTCAACTATTCTTTTACAACTGTTACTTTGTGTCCAGGGAAGTACTACTATGAGGTCACCTGCCACGACCAGGGTCTGTGTCGCATTGGCTGGTCCACCAGTCAGGCAGCCCTGGACTTGGGTATGCTTCTCTAATCTTCACACTCACCGTGCTGCAGAACCAAAAACAGCTAAATAAAGCTGTCTCAATAGAACAGTTATTCACTCCCCAACTCTTTTATCTTTTCCAGGAACTGATAAGTTTGGTTTTGGTTTTGGTGGAACTGGAAAGAAATCCAACAATAAGCAGTTTGACAGCTATGGAGAGGTAACAATGAATGAATGAATGAACATGTTATTAGATATGTTAACAATTGCAAGGATCATTTTCAAACATGTTTTGTCTTTGTCATCTTCCCTCTTTGCAGGAGTTTACCATGCACGACACTATTGGATGCTACCTGGATCTTGACAAGGGCCAAATTTCCTTCTCTAAAAATGGTGCTGTCTCAGTAGTTATGGTTCTTCGTATTATCATCATCATGTAAGACATCTGGAATTCATGACAATGTTACTGATGTTTCTTGCTCTGTCTTCTCTGTTTACTTTTTTTAGGTAACGACCTTGGTTTGGCTTTTGAGATCCCTCAACCTGTGAAGAGTCAGCCATTCTTTGCCTCCTGTGTGCTCAAGGTATCACATGGATTTAAAAGTAGAAATCAAACCAACAGGGGCCAGATTTACACCGTACAAATCGTTTTTCTCTACATCTGTTTCACAGAATGCAGAGTTGAAGTTCAACTTTGGAGGAGAAGACTTTAAACATGCCCCAAAGAGTGGATTTGTTGCCCTGGACCAGGCGTCTGAGGGTCACACAGTCAAATCTTCTCATACAGGTGTGTGGATGCAACATTATTTCAGATACAGCAAGAAAATATACTATAAAGAGACAGAAAAATCAATATGGGACTATGAGACAAATATCACATCTTTTATAGAACCAGAGATAGTGTGATGTTTAGGCTTGATTATGCTTGACTTTCTTTCACATTAAAACTTGGTGAATTTCTGCTATTGATGATATACACCTATGAATACATCACCACTAATGTCACTGGTATCATCAGTGCTGAACAGCTGTCTCTGCCCTGTGTGTGTGTGCGTGCAGGCAGTGCCAAAGTGAGTCAGGTGAAAGCATCATCCAACGCGCCCAAAGCTCTGATCATCGAGCCATCCAAAGAATTGGCTGAACAAACCCTGAACAATGTCACGCAATTTAAGAAATATGTGGAAAACCCCAAAATCAGGTACGACCGTACAGAGCTGCTATTGGACACTGGTTGACGCAATTACCATAAAACCTGCATGTGTTGGTTTTTTTAAAAACTAGTGCTGCTGTGATTTGTAATTCCTGTTTTATACCAGCAGAGGGAGCTAGTGCTTCATTATATAAACGTTGACATCAGCATGTGCAGTAATTTGTCATCTGTGTCCGCAGGGAACTGCTGGTGATTGGTGGTGTGGCTGCCAAAGACCAGCTGGCTGCTCTGGAACAGGGGGTATGTCATATGTTCTGTCCCCAGACAAACTTTGAATTAATTACCATTAAAAACAAGAGTTGAAACAGTTTTAAACTAACAACATTTTTGCTCCCTTTTGTCTTGTTTCCCTGTCCTGCTTTCTCCTTTTTTGCGTCATCTCACAAATAGATTGATATCGTGGTAGGAACACCTGGCAGACTAGACGACCTCATATCCACTGGGAAACTCAGTCTGTCTCAAGTCCGCTTTCTAGTCCTGGATGAGTGTGTATGTGCAATATATAAACATAACTTTTTTTTTTTAATGGTTTACATACAGAACATAACAATCCCTGTAGTCATTTATTCATTTGTCTGTGTTTTTTGTCCCTCAGGATGGCCTACTGTCCGCTGGCTATACCGACTTTATCAACAGGATCCACAATCAAATCCCTCAGGTCACTTCCGACGGCAAGCGACTGCAGGTGATACTAAACATTTTACTGATGAAACACTGAGACCGCTTTAAAGAGTAACAGTAGTCTGAGCAGTTGCTGTGCGTTTTCTGAAAACATTGTGTGTTTATATGTGAGGTACAGATAGATTAGATGAATATTAAAACTAAGTGAACTATTTCACTTGCTGCAAAGTTCTGTCTGTGTTTTTTTTCACTGTATAATGTAACTGCAACACATCTGAATGGGATTTCCACACATTAACCTTTGATATCCTCTTTTCCAGGTGATAGTGTGTTCAGCCACGCTGCATTCATTTGACGTAAAGAAGTTGTCTGAGCGTATCATGCACTTTCCCACTTGGGTGGACCTGAAGGGGGAGGACTCCGTCCCTGAGACTGTCCACCACGTGGTCGTGCCCGTCAATCCTAAGAGCGATCGCATTTGGGAGCGTCTGGGCAAGAACCACATCCGGGTAAGTCCCCTCATGTTGGGCAGAGGACACACACTTCGTGGTACAGCGGGTTTTGCCGAAGCACTGTTGAGGGTTCAACATCTTTTTATCCGGGCTTAGAATAAACATGTTGAAAGGTTTTTTTGATTTGTTTTGCTTTATAGACGGATGAAGTCCATGCCAAAGATAACACCAGACCAGGAGCCAATTCTGCAGGTAGGCAGCACAGTTTTCCCAAAATGTACATCACATACAACACCAATATATATATTATTTTATCATTTGCCTATAAATCATCACGACTAAGGAGTCTGTAACAAAAATGTGTATGCTTGCATTTTAGAAATGTGGTCCGAAGCCATCAAAGTGCTGAAGGGCGAGTACGCGGTGAGGGCCATCAAAGAGCACAAGATGGACCAGGCTATAGTCTTCTGTCGCACCAAGATTGACTGTGACAACATGGAACAGTACTTCATTCAGCAAGGAGGAGGTAGGAGAGCGCCACAGAGACACACACTTGGGTATAAAAGAATGATGACATAATCTATCCTCCCTCACTATTGGTCTCTTTTCCTTAGGTCCAGACAGTAAAGGTCACCAGTTTTCCTGTGTGTGTCTCCATGGTGACCGTAAGCCCAATGAGCGGAAAAATAACTTGGACCGCTTCAAAGTAAACAGGACAGCGGCGTAATAACACTCTTTTACAAAGCACAACTAGTCCATCAGTGTCTGACAATCTTCTTGTGTTCTCAGAAAAAAGAGGTGAGGCTTTTGGTCTGCACAGACGTAGCTGCCAGAGGAATTGACATTCACGGAGTTCCTTATGGTAAACATATTAGATTTCCAACATAAAACCCACATTCCTTAACATACACACTTTTCAAATGCTGATTATATACACAGTGTTCAATGGAATTAGAATATTTTGCTTTTTTTCTCCAGTCATTAACGTCACCCTGCCAGATGAGAAGCAGAATTATGTCCATCGTATCGGGAGAGTTGGAAGAGCCGAGAGGTACGCACGACATTCCTATGAAAATCCTATGATTTTGTTTGAAAATGCAATTGGAAACTTTGACACAAAATACCTTAAACTGTCTAAATATGATGTGACTGAGAGACAATAAATGATAGCACTGACCTTCACATTATTGCTCATTTACTTAA